TCTCTCTCTCTCTCTCTCTCTCTCTCTCTCTCTCTCTCTCGTGTATACACACATCACGGCCGCTTTGCCGCGCACACCGCACCGTGTGGCACACCTCACGTATGCGCCGCAAGTATGATTTGGACTCAGCGCAGCTTCGCTGAGCCCTCTCGCACTGAGTGATGATGAGTGGTGTCGGGTCCTGTCGTTGTCCCTGCCGAGTCAGATTTTGGTATTTCAGTCTTCCGCTGTGCTAGTTTTGTTGTCTCGGAGAGGTCGGTTCTTGGTTCCGATCGATGCCGATTAGGAATGCGACAGTGCGTGTGTGTGTGTTGATATGTGTTCTGCTCACACTTTGCATTCAAGCAGCTGCTGTTTTTTTTTTCTTTTTTCTTTTCTAAATTTAACGATCGCATTTAAGTTGATTCAACACATTACACCGAAAACTGTCATATTGACATGCGTTTCAGTAGAGAACATCGACACAAAGTCATCCACGGCATGGTGGGGAAAAGGATGTAGGTTCTTTTTTTGAGCTCTAATGGCGTATGCTGCTAAGTTTTTTGCTGTCCCGTTTTTCGTTTTTGTTCTGTTTTTTTTTTTTTTTTTTTTTTTTGCCTTCCCACCTGCCGGGATCCCTCTCTATCAGGGGCTCTCTTCAGCCGTTTTCACAGACACTTCCAGAAGACCCTGTCGTCCAATGCTTTGAGATAAACAAGAATGGTGACCTTCAGCGTAAGGAGTTCTCTTTCTGTTACCTACTCTCAGCGTCTCTACTTGACCTTGTCTCTTCTTTATGCTCTCTCTCTCTCTCTCTCTCTCTCTCTCTCTCTCTCTCTCTCTCTCTCTCTCTCGCTTTTTTTGTTGCTTTTTGTTTTCACAGAAAACCTCATTTTATTCTGGGAGGGCACCAGTCCGGTTACTTACCCCCGGCAAGCATGAGAGAGCACAAAGAAGACCGTGGAACCATAGTGTCACAGGGCAATTAATTAAGCAACAGGAGACTACTTAAAAGTACCCAGTCATACCCTGTTAACCCTGATTAGCTATGATCCAATGACCAACCCTGCAGTCTCAATTAGGGAAATCAAAACCCAAAGAGGACTGAAGTAAACAACACTTCTCTCTCCTCGTCTCCCTTCACCCCTAGTTCTCCCCTGTTAATCCCTATTTCTGCTAGGGAGATATCCCGGGCGCCCGGGTCCCGACGTCACGCCCGGTTTGGCGACGGGGTGACCGGTCGGGCATGACCCTCGGGCACGGGCCCGGGCAGCCCCAGCGCAAAAAAAAAAAAACAAAAAAAAAANAAAAAAAAACAAAAAAAAAACAACAACAACAAAAAAAAAAAACCCTCCAAAAAATCTGGAAAAAAAAATGTTGTGTAGAATTGAAATACAAACAACTTTTGGGTGAGGGTCACGTCAGAATTCCTCACGGAACTGAAGATTGAAAAAAAAGAAAAAAAATTCACACTAAGATACCCCCCTTTAAACCCCTTCAGCCCCTTTAAAACTCATTAATTCATTTATACTCCCCAGCCAAATGTCAAAAAAAGAAAAGAACCCAAGAGCCTAGCTCAGTGGGTAAACCCATGAACTGTTGAAAATACAGACCCATGTTCGAATCCAGATGATGGAACTTGATGAATAAAGTTGTGAAACCAACTATAAGTTTATAAAAGAAAAAAAAAGAAAAAAAAAAAAGAGCTCGGATTTGGGCTCCTCTCGGAGAGCGCAGAAAAATCCCACATCCAATTTTTTTTTTTTTTTTTTTTTTTGATCTTCTCCCCCATGCCCGGGTATCCCAGGTGTCAGACCCCTCCGGGCATCATGTCCAGGTGACCGGCCGGTCATGAAAATCTGCCTAGTATTTCTGGCCTTTTTCAGTACTTTGAGCTGCAAGAGTAAATGTGCGCCAGTGGGAGCTTCTCCCTCTCTCCGTGTGTGTGTGTGTGTGTGTGTGTGTGTGTGTGTGTGTGTGTGCATAAACACCGACTAGAGGGGTTTAAAAGGGTATATTACTGTATTTAAACTCAGGTTTTATTATTATTATTATTATTTTTTAATTTTAAAATTAACAAGGAATTCCGAGGGGGCCCTCAGCCGAAAGTTATTTGTATTGCAATTTTACACGAAATATTTTTCTTTCGGATTTTTTTTTTTTTTTTTTAATTTGTTTTTTTTTCTGTTTTTTTTCTAATATTATGTGCTGGGACTGCCCGGGAGCCTGCCCGGACCCTGCACGCCCCGGGCCGCCCGGAAGGGTACCCGAGCGACCTTCTCCCAGCCAGGCCGCCTGTGGACCAGCACTCCTGACATTCATCTTATTTGTTTCTGCGCATTTCTGTCTCTTTGCTGGATGCTGTGTTCACTTCAACTCTCCGCAGCGCAAATGCAGTTTCGCAATGTTCTTCAGCAGGCGGTCAAGGGTTACTCCGAGGTACGAGGCCGCTACCATCATCCGTGCTGCTCTCCTTTAGCTCTTGCTTCTTTTTTTTTTTTTTTCTTCTTTTTTCTTTTTTTTTTTGAGAACTGGTCCCTCCACTAGAAGAGGTGATAAGAGCACCCCCCCCCTCCAAGCGGACTGCCTGGTTGCTCCAATCAAGCACCTGCTGCTACTACTAACTATAGCTCTCGTCACTGTTATGAACTGCTGCTACTCCTGCTTCTGCCATTACTGCTTGTGCTCTTGCTCCTGCTACTGATCCCACCGCTCTCTCTGCCCAGGCCTTACTACCGATGGCCCTGCTGCCGCCCTACCACTGCAAGCCTTGCTCCTCCTTCCACAGCTACTCCTCTTCTCTTTCTCCTTTCAAACTACCCTCCTCCTCCTCCTGCTGCTGCCGCTGCTGCTGCTGCTGCTGCTGCTGCTGCTTTTCTGCTCAAGGTTGTCAGCAGGTGCGTGAATGCTGTTATGTTGCGCTCATTGAGTTACATACAGGGCCGCCTGGGTCACCCTGTTTTTCCCGTTGCCCGGCCGTGCAAGGACCAGGGAAGGTCCCAGCAAAAAAAAAAAAAAAAAAAAAATTCCAAAAAACGCGAAAAAAAAGTTATGCTTAGTATGCTATCATTTCTATGCAGAAAAATAAACTGAACAACTGTTGCCTCAGGGTCGCATCGAAATTCCTTACCAAATTTAAAATAAAAATTAAAATAAAAACATATTTAGTATTTACTTTGAACTTTCTAATTTAATAATTTTCTAATTTGTTTTTGACCCGGCCGGGCACGTGGTCCCGGCCCACTCTGGTAGCCTAGGTAACAATACGGCAACAATACAGTAACAATACAGCAACAATACAGTAACAATACAGTAACAGTACAGTAACAGTACAGTAACAACACAGTAACAATACAGTAACAATACAGTAACAATACAGTAACAATACAGTAACAGTGCAGTAACAATAGAGTAACAATCATGGTAACCGATCGGACGTCCGGACCGGGTTCCATACAGTCCGGAACAACATGTCTGGTGTCCGGTGTCCGGTCCTTATGTCGGGATGGAGGTCCCCATGGTAACCGATCGGACGTCCGGACCGGGTTCCATACAGTCCGGAAGAACATGTCCGGTGTCCGGTGTCCGGTGTCCGGTCCTTATGTCGGGATGGAGGTCCCCAGGGCGAAAATCGAAAAAATAAAAAGGGTGGCGCAGGACGTTTTTCGGGTCCTGGCCGCCCCTTGAAAACTAATGGGGTGATTTTTCAGTGTCGTTTCACCCCACCGGACAAGGCCTAGAGGTCCGGACACAAGACACTGCAGGTTTTTGGGGTGGCGGGTTTCACAGAGGCCCGAGCAATTTCAAAGCGGCCGTTTCGACGTGCCGCCCGTCGCTGCTGCCCGTTGCCGAGAGAGAGAGAGAGAGAGAGAGAGAGAGAGAGAGAGAGAGAGAGAGAGAGAGAGAGAGAGAGAGAGAGAGAGAGAGAGAGAGAGAGAGAGAGCACTGACAGTGCTGCCAGTCTGAACACTCTGACGTTCTGAATTGAACTGCAAAGTTCGAACTTTTTAAGTTTTATGAAGTTATGAACTTAAATTACTTCATTCAAAAAAGTTCAAACTTCAAAGTTAATCATACTTTTCTCTTTTTTTTTTTTTTTCTCTGTTTCTTTAGTCTTGTGCCTGCTTTGCACTGTTTGCAACTCTGCATGTCTGCTAGTTCAATGTGCTTGTTGATTTGCTGCAAGACACGTGCTCTGCTTCCTGAACTACAGAGTGCAAAGCAGGTAAGTGCCTGCTAACAGCCCCCCTCCCCCTGCTCTCCCGGTTTTTTTGTTCTTTTTTTTGTTTTTCTGTTTGTCTGGACATTCTGCACCCCCTGACACCGGTCCGGACTGTCCGGGTGTCCGGATCACCGGACAGTCTGGACCGGTCCAGACACTGGTGCCGAAGACAGTCCGGGAGTGTCCGGTGTCCGGGTCCGCAGTTACCATGGTAAGTTGGTAACAATACAGTAACAATACAGTAAAATTTACTAAAAACTAAAAAATTAAAAATACAGTAAAAATATAGTAACGGTACAGTAACAATACAGTAACAACACGGTAACAATACAGTAACAGTACAGTAACAGTACAGTTGCACCTTTGCTTGTCCTCTGCAGGTGATGAAGGATGGTTTGCTTCTGCGGCTGCCATTTGAGACGATCTTCGAGTATATGCAAGTGAGTAACCGAGTGAGAAAATCCGAAATCCTCGTCTTTTTTTCCTCTTTGTTTTTTCTGTCTTTGGTGTGGGAGCACGTATGTAGAAATGTACTCACTGAGCTATTTTTGTTCTGTTCGGGCTCCTGCTGGTAACGAGTAAAATAAATACTGCAGCTCGGACCGGCCCTAAGGATTCAGAACTGTAGTATTTTACTCGTTGATTTCCTCTGGCGTTCGAGCTCGGGTCTGTATTTCAACATTTCAGTCCAGGGATGCTTGTACGAACGACAGCTAGGCCCAGTTGGTGCTATGTAGCCATTCCCGCTCGATAACCAGCACTTAAAACCGCCAGTACATGGCCACAAGCAACTTGAGAACAATGCTTGGCTGGCTCCATCTGACAATTTCGGAGGCTCGGGGCAACCGCACCAAAATGGCTGGCGGCGCCAGCCAAAATCCGAAAAAAAAATGCCTTGCTGCTGCTGCTGCTGCTGCTGTTTCGGCGAAGCTCGGTGCTGAGGGGGAATCCGCCTCGTACGAAAGGGGCTCATATATACTGCTGGTGGTTTTAATGGATGGATATTTCTCACCTTGTAAAAGGGGATCAGGTGGAGATAGTTTGCTATTTGCACGGTGGGACCGATTTGTGTGGTCCCCCCCACCGACTGTTGAGCTGAGATTTTTATTTTTTTTTATTTTTTTTTGAAATTTTAAAGTCTAATTCAGATTTTGGTTTCGGAACAGTATGGGGGTCTCGTTCTCAAAAAATAACGGGTGGCATTTTGCCAATGCAGATGGTGCTCTACTCACTTTACAACATCAGGACCTGATTCAACCGGGTGGCATTTCTCCGCGTGATCTCGTGAAGATGCGGGCAATGAATTGGGTGTTCATCGGCTCTTCAGGTTCAGGTTATATGTTAGGGTTTAGGGCTTAGGGTTTGAGGTTTAGGGTTTAGGCTTTAGACTCTTCAGACTCTCCGCTGTCACTTCGGTTGATGTTGATTCAATCGTCTGACAAATCGGAAACTAGGGAGGTTGGGGGCTTAAAAACAGTCGCAAGTTTTGCGCTTCAGCGTCCAGGGCAGTTCGACTTGCTGACTTTGCTGTGGCCCACCACTCTTCCAGGGGAGTTTGACTTTGTTCGCGTCTGACCTGTAGTTATCCTGCTGCCAACTTGCCGCCCTCACTGGAGTGCCCAGGCTTTGCCCATTGCGGCGACCATATCGCAATTGAAAAACAATGCAAGTATTGTTCATTACACACTCATGTGCAAGGAAAATAAGCAACAGCGAGATGACAATTCCAGTTCACACCATCACATTGAAAGCCAAATAGTCACACTGTGTCCAGAGAGGAGCATTGCACCAATAATACACCAATGGAAGTTCGTACCACTGAAAAACAATGTTCATGGCGAGCAAACTCTCTCCCTTCAACACAAGAGTCCAGTTCCTTCACACTCACACTTGGCGCTCAGCGCCCAGCCTGCTCCTACACAGCTACTACAGACTACAAAAAGACAATGCAACTGTTGACATCAGCGGCAGCCCGAAGTACTTGAAGATGYCGMCCAWGCAGACTATCGCCAATACAAGGTATGTGCCCTCACATCATCATCATCATCATCATCCTTC